AACCCCTACGGTCTGGGTCGACTGCTGCTCCTAAACAATTTCCTACTCTCGATTACGGTAATTAGAGATTTTCATTTGTCTGTTGTTGTGAGTCCACAACAGTGGCACACGCAGGCCAACTTTCCACCACGTAATGATGTGCTATAAACAGGCGGCGTTGGGGTGGAAGAGGAGGGGAGCAAGAGGCAGGTCACCGCAGACCCCTCAGGTAACCTGACACGGTCATACTGCAGCCTGTCCTCTGACGGCCCGGTCAGCTTGTACGCTCACCTCGCTTGTGAGAACATTTCAGTCAGTGAACACGTTGTCAGTGTAGAGGTCAGGGTCCACTGGGGGTGAGGTTGGTGGGGGGACGTTTATGTAAGTCTGTTTATTTCTCCGCCGAGGGCGGCGGTGGATGCAGGTCATATTGACAGGCAATAAGACTGCTAATCTCAGCTAGCACTTAGAAAACACGTGTTGGACACTAGTTAAAACCAGCTTGTTGATTTATGTGGCAGTCAAGCCTTGAAGTGACAATCAATTCTGTAATTTGGTAAAAGATTTATTCATTTTATTTCCATTCGTCATTCACAGAGGGATGGATTTATTGAATATTTTTTAATGTTCTTTGTGGTTAGTTCGGTTTAAAAGGAATAAAATGACTAATTTAATTTAATAAAGAAAAGAAAATGTTGTAAGGCGCAACATAAAAGTATGTGCTGGACGCAATATTTGGTCCCTTTATGTAAATTGCTGCATCAGTGCGGGTCTGTTGCAGTGTTGAGATGTTAAGTGAGCTTTAATGTTTTTCACTAAAGCAGGTATTGGTTTTTTATCGGTGTGAAGAAGTCACAAGTTTGGCAGGAAAATAAAAAGAGCATTTCCATAAAGTGATTCAGTGATGGGTTTTCGCCAAGGACATCTTTCCATTTTCCTCCAGACTCTGAGAACTTGATTTCAAAATGAAACCCACTTGGCAGCACTACTGATATTTTCCTCATCAAACCAGGTGAGAAACTTCTGACCACCCTGGTGAAGGAGCAGCTTAACACAAGAAATGTAGCTCATGTTATGAGTGGCGGTTCCTGAAGCCTCTGTCACTAAACACTTCAAGACAGAAATAAGCCACCGACTTGGCCAGGGGGGCATTAAAGTATACCCATTGCTACGCTGATTCCTCAGCATCAAATAGCTTCCATTTTGAGTCCTTAAATATAAAATACATGTAGTTCATATCAGCACTAACAAGCATGGGGTCTTCAAGTGTAATATCAGCTCTTCGCCATGTATTTAAACCATACATTTCCTATTGAAAGAATTCTTTCATCTCTCTTTGTATTGTGGCTCATTTGCCACACAAAAAAAACCACCCCACACATAATAAAGCCAAGTGCTAATTACCCTGGCTGTACTTTGGTCAGTCTCCATAACAATAAAAGGGCCTGCTTGCCAGTATATCAAAGTGAAGTGATAAGGCTTGGGTTGAGTGTTTGCTGTCCAGATTGAACTCAGAGTGTGGACTCTTCAGACACATGGACACGCTGGTGGGACAGCCCTATCAGCCCATGTTCCTTCTGTTTTGTCCCTCGGGGTCTTTCCTCTCACAGGCTTGCAGGGACTCAGGCCACAAGATAGATGGATTAAACATTAACTTGTGGCTCCTTCATTCAGTCAAACATATGGGCCGATAATGAATAATTGTACAAGCTTTTTTAAGCAGGTAGGGATTTAACGCTGGATAGAAAACGTGAAACTCTTTGATTAACTAAGGTAAGATGGTTGTCCTTCCTAACATGCCTTTTATCGTTTGTCAAAATAGGTTGTCTTTGCCCAGGGTAGAATGACTGTGTTCACAGGGCAAGCTCACACTTTAAATATGCCGGTGTGCATTACGTGCGTGGATGTTTCGCTTTGAGTAAATACTTTCATTCAACTAGAGTCGATGAATCAAGAAAGTAAAGAATCGGAAGGATACTTCGCTTCTTACGGTTTTACAAACTTCACATCAAAAACATATGTTATAGCGTGTCAGCATTATTTTTATTTCTCAATCTCAAGAACATTTCAGCAATCTACCTAAAGTGAGAAGTATTTATTTAAGTTGAATAGTGCTCATTTTTTGAAGAAATGACACAAGCAAATGCCAGTGACAGAAGTTCAGAATTACAGAGTTACTAAAGTACCTTAAATTCATGAGTTCTTGGAGATAATAAAATAATCCATAATCATCAACCTCTCTAGACATATGGCCACATGTAGATATTTAAAGTAATCTACAATTACTCTTTAAACTGAGGGTGCAAACTCCTCAGTGAATCCTTGTTGAAGACGTTTACTTTCCTAAAGGTCCACATTCACTTTGAGCTTGTTTGTGCAAGCAGATGTCTTCATGCCAATGCCACACTATACCTACTTTTATCTGCAGTAGAGTTTAAAAGCTGTCCTGTCTTGTCTTAGATGAATATAATGTGGGCTATAAATAGAAACCCATCAGATTTAGCCTTTGCTTGCACGGACAGCAATATGGTTATCGGTTGAGACTGCAAATTCAAAGTTTAACCTGTTGTACAGTAAACCATCCATAGACCTTTGTGAGAATTATTTTCCATACATGATTCCAGCGTTGATAATCGGTCAGTTATTATTTAACTGTGCCAAATCAAGCCTGTCATCTCTGGTCTTGAACTCACTCAATGTATTTGTTAGGGTCTTGCCTACTCATACCCTTTTCAAACCCTAATTCTAAGCTAATCAGTGAGCACTTCATCTCTTAGCAGTCTTGGTTTAATTGACACAAACATGTGAATCTGTTAGGCAAAACCTTTATGCAACTATAACTTAATCGCTCACTGTCCTGCTACTAAATGACATTGGATGACATTCCTGTCCATGTGTGTGTGTCTGTCTTCAAACCACATCGACTAAACGTCTCCAGACTCCAGCTAATCTGCTCTGCGTGTGTTTACATTCCTTTGCATGTTGGTGGAAACATGAGGCTAGCTTGGTCCATTAACAGGGAGTGGGAGGTGTCATGAGTTCAGTTATGAATGTATGTTTTGTAAAAATTTTCAGGTGAAAACGGTTATTATGAAACAAAGTTTTCATAGCCCTGAAATGTTTTTCAATTTCACATTATTATGTGACAGCCCATTACTTATTCCTTTGTTTACTTCCTTTTGTTTATTTTATTTTTCTGGCCTGGATTTCTATTTAATGTTCTTTTATCTCATACTGCCTATGTTCCATGTGGTGAAACATCCCCACTGTGAAACATGGCGACAAAAGCTAGTTGTCCTTTTGCATTTTGTCACAGAAAATTCCAATCAAATTGAACGAATCAAAGTTGCTTTGGTAAAATATGTTTACCACCATGGCTTTGTCTTGTCCCAATCGAGACATGATTGTTGATGGACAGTTATATTTGTGAGTTTTAGTCAAAACTTTTATTTTCCGTCCCTGTTTAGGGCCTACATTTATTTATCTACGGAGTATTCCTACTGCCACTTCTGTGAGGATGTCCAGTGCTCTCTGCAGATCTCTCCATCTTCATGTGGAGCAGTTCGGCAGAGTTTGTCAGCTAAACTACCGACCTATCAAGCCTTGTCAAACCGATGTTACAGTATACATGTCACTGACCGAGTGACATGTATACTGGGACCTAAATATATCTAAATACAGTCACAGTGTCATACTAAAATGGGAAGTACGACAGCGCATGATGCGTTGTTCATCGTTGGTTATATTTATTAAAATTTAATAAATGGTATTATGTTTTGTTATATAAAGTCTTAGTGCTTTGTGTATCAGTTCCTCATTCTGTCCGTTGTCTATGCTTCGACACACTGCACTGTGTACATGACATACATAGATTGAACATCTTAGAGAAGTATAAAACCATTATAATGCAGATTAGATCTCTCTGCTTTGCTGATTCAGGTTCATCGCCATTTGGTGTCTTAGTCACTAGGGCTGAATTAACCAATACAGTATTGGTTTATGAACACTTATAGATAAAAATGCATTACTCGGTGCTGTTAATGCAGATAAAGATATTGGTCCCTTACCTTCACACCCAAATGAAATTGAGTGACATCCCATTCTTACTCCATAGGCAGAATTTCCCCCATAAAACCTGCAGGTGGTAGGAACTCTAAGGCAGTCCACCAGTGGCCCACTGCGTTTTTCTACTGAAGGAATGTTAAGTTACCAGGCTTATAAAACACTGGAGAAAACCCAAGTAGGGTTTTATATGATATTAGCCTACTCTTTATAGCTGCAACAGCTTCAGCTCTTTTTGGACAGCTTCCCACAAGGTTTAGACTTTTGTTGATGGGAATTTATGATTTTCAGAACTGCATTTGTGAGGCCAGACACTAATGTTGGAAGAGGAAGGTCTGTCTCGTAGATTTGCCCATATTATTGCCAGACAGAGAGGCAATAATACACACTGCACTGTGCAGATGTCTTCCACTACTGTAAAGTCCAATGGTGTCATGCAGAGCAAGATTGACTTTCATTGCTCTTGATGATTTAAACCTTTGCTACTGATGCTTGGAGGTTTGTATCTACTGGCGTTGCAGAACCGTCTTCTCCTCGTCATTCATTGCCAATGCAGTTTGGTTTTACACGGCTGTTACGTGACTGAGTTGCTGTTGTTCCCCTTGGTTTCATATTTGCTATAATTCAACTAACATTTATTTGACTGTTGTATGATTAGTAGTGAGTACGTTGATGACTGGATTTAATGTGTAGGTGACTTTCTATCACATTACCACACAGGAATTCATCAGACCTTATCTAGAAAAATTCAAGATGTGAAAAGAACAAAAATATCCTTCCTCTGTTGTTTCTTTTTCCAGGTGTAAAATTATCCCGTAAGACAAAAAGAAAGTCCCACAATCCCATTAGTTGGCAAAAATAAACATTAAAAACATCGTCATTGGTGTGTGCCAGGATGTTTTAGTGTTATCTGTCTGAATAATCTTTCTTTCTTCCTTCTTCTGATTTCTGGCCTGTAGTCTCATGTGTGACGGCGCCACCAGCACGCTCCTCCATCACAATGGTCGACATAGAGAGCCACTACCAGCCCCCATCTCCCCTGGAGGACTCCGTGCTGGATGGCCCCCTGTGTGGTGATGACGATTTCATGGGCAGCATGGAGGCGCTTCAGGACATCCCCTCATCCATTGACGAGGACGCCCTCAGCTCCCTCGACGTCCCGGAATACCAGTCCTCCCACAATGGGTCTGAAGGCTCCAGTATCCTAGGTAGCGCAAGCAGAAAAGTCCTCCACTCTTACCTTTTTCCATGAGGATCAAGAAGTCCAATATTCCTCTCTGCTGGAATATTGTAGGTGTGAAATTAAACATTATTTTCACACCTACATGGGATGTGTATAAATGCAAACAAGACTTCCCATGGCTTTAACACCTCGTTTAGATTTTTATTTTTAAACAAAAAAAAAAAAAACATGCATTTTTCTTTTAAACAATTTGTCAATTATTTACTACTTTGAATTGGCTTGTTCAAATCCAATTAAAATACACAAAAATATGGTTGTGGGCTTGTTCAAGAGGTATAAAGAGCCCTTGTTCTGGTTCCTTGTTGTAATACTTTTGAAAACATTATTGAAACAGCAGAGTTTTTAAAATGTTCCTCATTTTTCCCTTATCTATGCCACTTAAATGTTCAGAGAACAGAGTGGCGTTCTCAAAATGTTTTAAGTTCATGTATCTAAATGTAAGGCCTTAAGATGTTTTACTTTCAATAAAATAACTTGCCTTAAATACATTAATCACAAGTCTTAAATTAATCAGGACTATTTCATCTCATGTAGTCTTTCTCTTTCTCATGGAACTGTGCTGTCAGGGAAAAGTTTGAGTTGTGTGCCGACATCTACAATGCGTTATGCGTTTTGAAGCGATTAGTCTGCCGTCGACGGCTAATATCTTAAAGTTGCTTTACCTCGGGGAAAACACGGGCCATGTCTTAACCTCCATTAAAATTGCACTACAATACGTTCCCAGTCTGTTTTTTTTTTCTTGCTCAGCCTCTTCTACTGACCTACATCTTAATGCCTGTTTGTTCAAAGGGTTGAGATTAACTGTAGTCTTTTCCTGAATGAGTCGCTCTCCTAGCCCAGTGCCCCTCGTTCCTGTTGGTATTTCGCATGTGTGCCTTTTCTCTCCTGTGCTTCCTTTCTCATCTCTTGCTCATTCTTCCTCCCCCTTCTTCGGTGAGGAATTCACACATTCCTCTGCCTCCCTGCACGATCTCTCAGGAAACATCCGCTTCGCTGCTGCATCTCCCTACTAAAAGACGTCGGAAGTCTGGCGAATCTGTCGAAAAAAGTTGCCGCCACACTGCAGGTGTAAGGTCAGCGCAGACCAGCCAACGCAGTGAAGACGGTGGAAGCAATGGCTGGAATGCCGATGATGTCATGGAAGAGCCACCGGGAGGGGCTTTAGCAGCTTTTATGATGTATCTGTTGAGAGACAGTGAAGGATCGGAGCTGGCGTGTTCTCCGTGTCCTCGCTCAGATGAAACATGTGGATTTGCACGAGGCCGGAACGCAGGCCGCTGCCAAATGCTGCTTATCCCCAGCCTGGCAGCACTCACCTAAACTCATGTGGCTTGACTTAGAGCCACTGCTTTTGCACCACTTCACCGGTGCTTTATGGGCACTGAGGAGGCTCTGCCAGCCATGTTCCGCTCAGGCGTTGCAAATAGATGAGTGTTTTTTGGCATCCCGCGGTAAAGTCCTATGACTTGATCGCCGCCGCTCCCTGTGTAGCGCTGTAATGGTTGTTGCAGCTAGTATGCTGAGATCTCAGTATAAATAGTTGCTATCATGGAACAAAGTGTCTTTGTTTGGGGGAAAGAGGTCAAACATTTTTGAGTTTCACAGTTTTTTTTTCTGGTAGGACAGAACAGCAAATGCTTTTACTAAAGTGGAGATAGCTTCTTTTTATTTATGTTCGTTTCAAAATACCTTGAGGACATTACTGAATTAATGTGCTGGGTGTAGTGACATTTGTCTGTGGATTAAGGCAAAAACACGATTGTAGTTAAATTTTGTTTCATATGGAGTTGCTTTGGGCAGTTTTCTGGGGGGGTTTACTTAATTTGCTGTGACCTTTCTCTTTTAGAAGTACAAACTGAGAAAATTTGTAAACATTAGTCAGTTGTAGTCGTAATGTCGAATAAATAATCACTCTAACGATTGCTGTAGTAATTGATTATTCTGACGATTAATTGGATAAAGAACATTGGTACGTAATGAAGATTTTTCATCCAACCATTCAGTCCCCTTTTTATATATAAAATTAGAAATCCTGCTTTAAATTATGCAACCAAACAAATCAGTCGATTCCTTTTCCAAATACAAAAATGAACAGTTTATTGCCTGAAACGCAGTTGCCTAGTATTTCTTTTTGTGCATTTGCGGCAAAAATAAAAAATAAAATTAATGTAGGCATGCGAAAATCTCAGCCTTTTCTGCTTGACTTAACATCAATACACTGTAGGGCTAATCTCTTAACTGTTTTTTGGATTAACTGATTAATATTTCAGAATCAAAGGTTGCTTGATAGATTTAGTTTCTTTACAGAATTTGAACTTGGTGAACTTTTTCACAGAATCAGTTCTGGGTAGAACATATTTACAAACAAAGAAGAGTTTTTATCTTGATTGCAAAATGTTTTTGTAATGTTTTGCTCTGATTATGTTATTCTTTCAGTAAATTGTCTTTTTTTTTGAGTCTGGATTTTCTGGTTAACGATTAATCGATTATAAAAATGAGCTGACAGTCATTTCAATAATCAATTCATCACAATTAGTCGCTATTAACCTGATTAAATGTTTCAGCCCTAGTTTATATAAGGAGCACAGTTGATATCACACACTGTAAAACACTTTTGCTGTTTTAAAACGTATGTAGACATTACAGAGTTTAAATTGTAAACCGTTGGTAACGTCTTTATGTTAGTAAATATTGTTTGCACGGCCTTCTTTTCTGAAATCAGACTTTTCTAAAGAGCTAAATGATAAAAAAGAGCAACTTTGCTGTACTCTCTTCAGCCTTCCTGTTACCTGCTGAAGATCTTGCTCTTTGGGTTTTTTATCAGGCTGAATGAGCATATGATTGGCCGATTTCTACAGATTACCAACAAAATCGAAAGCAATGTTAACTCTTTGCAGACTGTGTCTCTTTCCTTTTCTGCTATTTTTGTTTTCATTTCAACCGAAACATTTATGTGGATAAATTCTGCTTATGGCTGCAGCTAACGATTATTTTAGCTGCAGCCATCATCAAGATACTCTACTGGTTATCCTTATGATTAATCGATTAATCGAATAAAAAAATTCTACAGGTGTTACTTCTAACCACTTACGCCTTTTCACACCAAGTTAGCAATAGATTAGAAGATGCAAATGAACAAATAGTTAAATTCCATTTTGCACAATTTTCACTTAATTTTTATGAATTTTTTTGCTCCTGTTAATAATTAATCGATTATTAAATTAGCTGACATTGACATCAGTAAACGATTAATCACAATAAATCGTTTCAGTCCTACTTTGGACATATTGTCATTTAGAAATCAGTTTCTCTCCGACTTCTGTTTTTTGAAAACGCTTGTTGTCAAAGCTGCGGTGCCACAGTCACTGTTTGTGTGTTTTGCAGACACTTTGACACCGGCGTCCAGCCCGTCCTCCGTTGTTTGCGGGATGGCTCCTTCCCAGGAGGAGCTCTTATCCTCCTCCTCCTCGCTCAATCTGGAGTGCCGTGTGTGTTCTGACCGGGCCTCGGGTTACCACTACGGCGTTCACGCCTGCGAGGGCTGCAAGGTGAGTCGCAGCATCGTTGGCGAGGATGTTAGTGAAACTGAGTCCTGACTGAACTTCCTTTGTTTTTGTTTTTTTTGCTAAATGATCAAACCCAATGAAGCGACAAAGAACATTAGGAAAGCTAAATAACAGCATTGTCGACCGCTCTGCGTCCAGAAGCAGCGTGTCCTGTGACTCGTGTGTTGATGTAACTTCTAAAATATTGTCCTCGGCTTCACTTCGACTCGCTCACTAATCTCTCAGTTAATTGTTCACTAGTCTTGCTGAAGAACGACCGAGAAATATTTCTGAGAGAAAACAAAGGACAACAATAAGAAATTGTTCAGTCTTTTTGAGCTTTTGTCGCACTGAAACGGCTTTGTGTTCTATGTGAAATGTGTCTGTGCTAGAGGCATGGCTATATTATTCAAGAAAGGTACACTTTTTACCCATAAATCAACCATATCCGACAGGGAAGGCAGATATTTCATTAGTTGGAGAATTGTATTCTGTTCCTATAACTCTGGTTAATATATGGCCCCAACATAGACCCTCCTCTTTTTTACAAACATGTTTTAGCCCAAATACCTGACATTTTGCAGACTAATCATTGGAGGGAACCTGAATCTTGTTTTAGATCCATACTTGGGCCGCTCGTCACCAAACAAAACATGGAAATTAGACCTGCAACTGTTGAGCGCGCCAGAATCCAATTTAAAGTCAGAGAGCAGATTACCTTTTTCCTTTGAAATGAATGACCTTCCGGGAACGACTCCTTCAATACTGTGGGAAACTGTGAAAGCCTTTTTAAGGGGAGGTATTATTTCTTTTCGAGCAGCAAGGAGGGGAAGGAATCGTGCAGAGCAGAGCAACAAATTAGGCGTCTGCACAAAGATAACGCAACACACCCCTCTACAGAAACTCATAAAAAAATTCTTTCACTGAGGTACAAATATAATCAATTATTGTCAGATCACATTACTAGAGCTTCCATTTTTACTCAACAGAAATATTTTGAATTTGGGTAAAAACCTCATTAATTATTGGGTAGTCAACTAAGGAAAATGGAAAGTGACCGTACAGTTAACAAAATGAAATCAGAAAATGGGGAAATTTGAACCTCACAAAGACATCAATCATAGATTTAAACAGTTTTATGAATCGTTGTATTCCTCCAATGGCCGTAAAAGATGATTTAATTATACAGAAATTTATAGATAGTTGTAATCTCCAAACTTTAACTCAGGAAGACAAGAGCTCTCTTAATGCAAATCTCTCCCACAGAGATATTCAGGTTGCTATTAAATCACTAAAAAGTGGGAAATCAGCTGGTCCTGGTTCTGGGGAATCCTGGTTCTGGGGAATTTTATAAAGAATTTTGTGACCTTTTATCACCTTATTTGCTAAAAGTGTACACCTAAGCAAACTCAGATAATATCCCACCGCCTGCTAGGAGAGAAGCCACTATAATACTAATACCAAAAAAGGATGAGGATCCTGAGGAAGTAGGTAATGACAGTGTCACTGTTAATCTATGATCAAAAGATCCTAGCTAATAGGTTGACTTTATTAATGGATGAATGAAGTCCTCCCGATCAGACGGGTTTTATACCAAACAGAAACGCTTTCTTTCATTACGACGTCTTTATAATGTGATCTACTCTCAGAGGGAGGAAACTTTTGATTTGGCTCTCCTCTCCCTCGACTCGGAAAATGCCTTTGACTACCTTTTTGCAACCCTGAGAAGATATGATCTTGGTGAACACTTTGAAAAATGGTTAAAAATCCTTTTTCTTAAACCTTGTGCTAGAATTGTCACTAATAAGACACTATCTCCTGTATTTCAGTTACACAGGGGCATCGGAAAGGGCTGCTCCCCTTGCACAGTCAATTCGTGTCATACAGGGAAACATTAGTAAAAGGACTATAAATAAAATTCTAGACTCTGTCTTATTCAATTTAAAGTCATTCACAGGCTTCTTTACTGTAAAGTGAAGGTACATAAAATCTTCCCTGACACGTCCCCACTGTGTGACAAATGCCATATTGAAGAAGCCACACTTCTCCATTCTCACTGTTTGTGTACAAAATCAGCCCCATTTTGGTCGGGCATATTCAGAACTTTATCACTTATGCTCCGTACAGAGTTGAGGTTGGACCCACTTGGAGTTTCTGTTCAGCTTTCTCAATTTAATAAATACCAATAATAAATATTATTATCTTGTGCCTTTATCATAGGAAAAAAGCTAGAGTTGATGTTCTGGAAAAAATCAGAAGTTCCATCGGTTAAATTGTGGCTGGAGGAACTGGTCTCATCTGGAAAGAATACGGTTCTCTTTAGCAAATAACTTCAATAGAACTTGGCAAACCCTTCGGCAATATATTAACTGTATTTGAAGAGAATTTGATTTGTTTTTCTGTGTGATAAGATGTAGGTCCTAGGTAAAGCGGAGGAGGGTGGATCTGGAGAATGTCCCTGTTTATTTATGTCACTTTTGACAACAATGTTAAATGGGGGACAAACATCCATCTATAAATCTCCAAAAATGACTTGCAGTTGTTATTCTGCAAGTCATTTTTTTTTTTTGCAGAATAACAGTGCTTTGCTGTTGTTATTCTGCAAAGCACTGATGAAATTTATATATAAAAACAGTTCAAAAAGATGCATTTGTATCACTCTACACCCATTACATTAAACAAAAGTTTCTGGTTGCAATGTGGAAAATGTTCAAGAGGTGTGTAAGGTATGTGCGGGTGTGTGTGTAGAGGTGAGCATGTGTGTTTTTGTGTCGTAAGACAGCTTATCACAGAAGCCATAGGTCAACTTGATCACTTTTACCTCTGCCTGTAGTAGAAAGTCACATGTCGGAAATATGTTTGCGTGACGCTGCAGAAGCACACAACACCTTCGCTTTGCTGAAGTAAACCTGACCTGATCAAAGGCAGAAGTGCAGTTGATCTTAACCAAACCGTCACTCTGTGGTTTGTTTGTGCACACTAAACCTTCAGCGACGTCTAAAAGTCATCGAGATGCATCTCATTTACATGGCATTGTTTTGTTGCTAAATAAACACACGGCTTTTTTTTTTCCATCAGCCGATCCCCGGGCTGAGTCAGACCAGTCTGAAAACCTTCTTTATTTAGCGTTTTAAACTTACAACCGCAGGTCAAACGGCTTCATCTAACAGGCAGGTTTGATTGAAGCTCTGACTTCATGCAGATGTGCAATAATAAGCAATAGAAAAGCATGTGCAAACATCACAAATGTTAGTTTTTTTTAATGGGATTTTTATCTCACAGACCAATGCAAGGTAATGTGTTATACTGTGAGGTAAGGAATAACTGGTGCTGGTTTTGGGGGGTGGGGTTGCTAAAAAAAATCTTTAAAGTGTGGCATGCATCTATACTTAGCCCCACAAGTCGACGCTTTTTAACGCACCCTTTCCTACATAATCAGCTTGAAATTGCTTCTCCTTTGTAAAATAGTCAGATTGAACGGAGCGCAATTGTTTCCATTCGACTTCAAGACTCGCAACTTTGACTAGGCCATTTAGCACCACAGTTCATAGAAAAATCTCAACTGAATACTTTTGTTTTGGGTCGATTGTGACAAAAATGCAAAAAGAAAAGCCCAAGTGGTCCAAGAGATTTGGGCCTGTCCGCTTCACTCCAACGTCTACTAGCGGTTCTGCACATAGCCGGTAGGTAGGTGAAAGTTTGACATCTGCAAGAAGAACATTCCTGTGTAAAAAAAGCCGGCGGTCCCACAAATAGACACCCCTGGTTTGGATTTTTGACCGCAGCGGAGAAATGCGACCCCCTGTGATCTCGGCACACTGACCAGTTATGACACCGGACATGAGCAGCGTTGGCTCGCTGTCTTCTAGGGGCGTGGCTTAGTGGGGGAGAGACATTCAACACGCTGGTCAAATGTCTCGGTGACCTGGGGTAACCTCTCGCTTTCTGACCATTTCTGGGCCTTGGCACATTGGTGTCACCCGTGACTAAAATGGATTTAACGTGATCCGCTGAATCAGTTCAATGTTGCTTTGTAAGTATTGAGAACAAGATAACTGTTTGGTTTGGTTAGGTTGACTTATTCCATTTTCCAAACACAAAAATGTTTCATCTGTTCTCCACAGTGAAAAGTTGCTGTTTTCAAGGTGATGTAACTGTAACTCAGAAAAACCTCGCATAGAAACAGTGTTTTCTGGTGTTACATCTCAAGAAAAAGTAACTCCTTGGGCGAAAGTGTTTCTTTCAAAACGTTGCGAGGAATTTGCTTTCTCGAGGTTTGCTTAATTATTTTTTTTCTCTCTCCAGTCCAAACATGCATTCACTCTTCGAATTTCGAATATATATATTTATATATTTCTGCTTTGGGTCCGTTTTCCTGCAGGGTTTCTTTCGGCGGACCATCCGTCTGAAGCTGGAGTACGACAGGTGTGAGCGCCGCTGCAAGATCCAAAAGAAGAACCGCAATAAGTGCCAATACTGCCGTTTCCAGAAGTGCCTGGCCGTGGGCATGTCCCACAACGGTGAGTCCTGCAGACGGTGCATGTTTGGCCAACGCAATGCAGGAAACTAAGCACTCTAAAGCCGACGAAGAGAACTGAGCAGGCTGGTGCTGTTGCTTTGGAAACTTGAACAGCCCTCTACTTGCATGGAGTTAAAAGCAATTTAATGTTCTAGTTATAAAACTGTGCACCTCGTCACCTCAACCATCTCAGTTTTATACAGTTCAAATAAAACTTGTATATCAAAAAACAATATTAATGAAATACACAAGCGATGTATTTCAGGACTTTATTTCTGTTGACTGATTTTTATAGCACACTGAACTTTACCGCACAGACATAGCAGAGTTGACTGACACCATGAAGCTTTTGATTTTGTGAAGGCGTCGGGGGCTGGCTGACCTTCGATGACCTTGGCGACATATTGTGAATTCTCAGTGTGGTATAGATGTGATTAGTCTGTGGTTCTGCAGAAGACGCTCAGGAAGTTCAACATTCGTCTTCTCCTCTTTGTCACAATGTTCCCATGGCGAACATTGTGGTAGATGTTGGTAATATTTGCAACATGTTCAGACCCAAAGTCCTGCTGGAAACTGAAATCACTACCAAGTTTGTCAGTCGAGGGAAGCATGAAGTGCTTGTGCACCTTTTTGTACAACACTTTTTCTTTCCACTCAACTTTCTATAAAAATGCTTGGATGCAGAGCTGCTTTTGAAGCTCCAAAAAAGTGCATATTATGCTTAAAAAAAATAAAAATAATTATTAATGTAGACGTGTCCTGCTATTACACTAAAGTGTTAACACGTTAAGCTGCTGAATCCAACAATTGTAATCAGAATTTTAAATTTATCTCCTTAACCTTCGAATTGAAAATAAAATTACAACATTTTGTGCAACGTCCGAGTTTTTGAAAGCCAGCGTTCGGCCAGAGTTTGTTATTATTAAAAGTTTGTCATTGTAGCGACTTTGTAAAACATCATATCTGACCGAGCGCGAGGCGCTAACTCGGAAAGTACATCAGTCGTCATCAGTGGCGTCTTGAAACACAACAAACTGTATCTTTTCACCGGTCATTCCTCAGCTCCCGTCCCTCTTGTCGCCTCCTGATGAATTGCTCTCTACTGCTGATTACTCTTTTTTTTTTCATACCTGTTGGTATTGGCACTGAGACAGAAGCATAGTTTTAGAAACCTGGCTTATGAATGTACTATTTATTCTCTGAAAGTGCAGTCCGACACTCTTTAGGATTGGGGGGAAAAAAACAAATCAAAAGCAGGAGCTTCTGGTAAATGTCGCTGTGTGTCCGCAGGAAGCCGGCAACCACAAAACCGTGATCAGATGTTAAAAAAATAAGGTACTTCCATGCAGATCGTAGAGGAAATTACTGACGTGGGTTTACATAGGAAGTTTGCACACTTCAATACAGCACTCCACGTTGTACGGAGGCTGAAAAAAAAACTATTTTGTTTTGTTTTACTCATTTGCCTCTTGAAGATTGTCAAAACTTTGACAAGTTTAATACTCAGCAACTTGTAGTAGTATTTGAGTCGGCTGTGGTCCTGCTTGCAGCCTGTGTATAAAGTTTCATGAACCTAAATGTGACCAGAGGGAAAAGACATTTTAGATGAGAGTGACCTGATTCTGTCCTCGGCACATGCAGCTATTTTTACATCGACTACTGATTGATTCCACAGTTGAATCTCTGTGTTTCATGAAAACTTGACGTCCCTCTGCACAATTAGGAATCCTTTCTATAAGTGATCATAACAGAAGCGTTCTTTAAAAGCAAACTATAGTTTTCCAATTCGGTTCTTGTTTCGGGAAAGTTAATTTATCAGCCAAGAGTTTTTGTTTTTCTGGGGATCCCACAGTGCTCAAATGAGTTTGTTTGTACAAAACAAATTCATCATCAGCAAACTTGTCTCTGACAACTCAACAAGAGAGCGTCTTCATTCAGAGGCTTCTTCAAAACCGCTGTTATACAGACTGCTACAGGAGATCCATTGGCATCTAAAACTCTCTTTCAAGGAAACTGTAAAATATGAGTTACAACATTTAATTTCCTTCTGGGATTAGTAAGGTCTTTTTGGATTGAATTTAATTCATTACAAGACGTAGAGTCCCATTTCTATTGGTGACTCCTCAAAATGGGAAAGATGGTAAAGGAAGTCGGTGCCGATCTTCATAAATTGGTATGTTGATTTGAGGGAATACCTTCTTTCTTAACGTTGCCATGTCTGTAGTCAGAGCTAGAAAATAGAAACGAGGCTCGCCAAAGGCCCAAGTGTCTGTCCAGTAAAGGACCGCGGGGGAAACGCTGATTTATTTTGGGAGACTTTGCTAATAGAATAAAATGCCATTTTAGACCAACACGTTTTTTCACATCACAAATGTGAGTAACAACAATACCCCGCATCTCCGACACCAACAACACGGACGATTGGACAGAACCAACTCAGCGTCTAGCTTCCTTACCCGCTCCCCCTCACGCTTCATCTGCTCATGTCGGCTCGCGGGGAGTGGGGCTTACTACCAATCACTTGTCCACATCTTTATTAGACTCAGCTCCTGTCCAAGCGTCTTCAGATAGTCTCCCCTTGTGACACCATCCCCGGTGTCGGTATCTGGGTCAGGAGTCGCGTCCCGGCTCGTTCCCACCCTGTACTCGAACATGAGGTCTACAGAGAAATCAGGTCCTCCTTTATGCTGAACGCTGTGTGTTCTCAGGGAGATATGCGTGTGTATGTGTGTTTGTTTATTCGTACGTGGTCAACAGCTTGGCCTCATCAAATCCATTAAAACCTGAGACACCTGTCTTAACGTGGGTAACGAGAGACTTATATGCTGCATTAGGTTCTCATAGGGTTAAACCACAGAGGTGGAGGTCAAAGACAGGTCACCTCTAATCACCATTATTAGCTAAATGGGATCAACTTGTCTGAGAGATGCCATCGCACTTTCATAAGGGCTCAGTGGAAGTACGTTTAATTCAAAGGAAGCCCACTTTGTTTTGTGTCACCTTTATTTGTTACTTCCTGAAAGGTTGAGAGGATATTTTATGGTGTGAAAGTACAAGGTTTCGACACAAACACAGCGTTTAAAAGTTTAAAAGGAGGAGAAATAAAGTGATTTTCCTAAAATAATCTACTCTTACCACTACTGCTAAAATGGTCAATTATATCTGCGATTAAAATTACTTTTCAACATGTTTCTTTTGCCCGGAAGCGATTTGGATCTTAATGATTACAATGACTGAAAGGAAGCCTTCTAACCTCGAAGAGCACATCAAAAAAACATAAACAATTAAAATACAAATGGAAAGATAAAAAGAAATCTGCTCAGTGTTTAGAACTGAGCAGATTTAATAACCCGTTGTTAAGACGGCGTTTTTAAACAGTAGAAACCAGATATTGATGTACGCTGAATAAAAACATACTCACACGGTTTTTTTTTCTCACAGTCTGAAGTGAAATCAGAGCGAACTTTTCCTTGTTTTGGATTAGTTTGAATTTCCAAAATTGTTTCTATTTGATAAATGCCAGGAAACTGAGCGAGACCATTTTTTAGACATTTTTTTTGTAACGTCCTTCGAATTCAGAAGTTTGCGTGCATTTGGTCAGTATCCGGTACAACTGTCTCCTAACCTGTATGACTGCTTCAATTTCAAGTTTCAGACAATCATCAGTTGAGATGTAGCAGTACACCTATTTACTCCGGAAGTACCCGGTTCACTACCAACACGTACCAAACAAATAAAGCATTGTTTCACATCACACCTGGATACATGCAGAAAAGCGACACTGAAACAATACAACAATTTCATTTTGTCTGATTATTTAGCGCTCATAATTCAAAGCCTCTGTTGCTACATTCTTACTGTCACCAGATTCAAACATCTTTAGACCATCTATTGTTTTTTTTTAAATGCGTTTTCAGGCTTTAGACGTCAGCAAAATAATCTCCGTCTGCCTCTAAATCCACTCTCCGCAGCCATCCGGTTCGGCAGGATGCCCCAGTCGGAGAAGCTGAAGCTGAAGGCGGAGATGGTGACGGGGGAGAGGGAGGTGGTGAACCCCCAGCTCGCTGACCAGAAGACGCTGGCCAGGCAGATATACGAGGCCTACCTGAAGAACTTCAACATGAACAAGGCCAAGGCTCGGACCATACTCACCGGAAAGACCAGCAACCCTGTACGTTGATTTAAAGTGGTGGGTTGGTGAGTGAAAGGCGTTGACCGCACAGAAAACATTGATTAGTTTCTCCCTAAAGAAAAGATTTCGGACTCTAGAAGTCTGCTCTCAAAGAATCATCTCGGTGTGATACGGGGTGTCCACGCATCCACGTCTTCAGTTTAACGTATCTTAAATTAAGGCCATAAAGTCATTTTCAAAAAGTAAGTTGGCCTTACTTATGTTAATCTCAAGCCTTAAATGTTGTCTTAATTCCATATATGGTATTTTTTTTCATATTTTTTTCTCTGGACGGTTCTGTCAGGCAAAAGTTTGAGTCACTTTTAGACACCTTCATTGCGTATGACTGCTTACATAACCTTCCTAGCAAGCATTTTTGTCTATCCTGGCCAAATGGAAATTTATCGGCAGTTAGCTAGATGAAGTTTGTTAATTTTTGTGGATTCATGTCTTAAATTGTATTCATATTAGTCTTAACAGGGTCTTAAAAAGTGTTAAATTTGAGTTGTAAAAACCTGTAGTATCTTTTCTACCACAAGAAATGACAAAAAAGGACTTTCTCTCTGGGTGGTCTCGACAATGTTCCCTTTTGTTTCTTCTTTGTTCATTGAAGTGGGGAAAAAGTGGTTGAATTCAGGCCAGAAGTCAAAGCCCAGAGCTGGTTGAAAACTCCCCAGATGGATGTTTGTGGGAGTTAAATGGGTCGGGAAGGACAGGGCGAGTTTCCATCCGTGTTCAAACATACAGTAGATGTCACTCGAAGCCGTTGGGGATCAAAACACCTGGTGAAAGCAGCAGCTGGTGTTTGTAGATGTAGATGCATCTTTTTTTTTGTTTGTTTGTTTGTTTTGCAGTATTCGGTTAATCTAATAAGGATCTGAAAAATTGTTCTTATTTCTCTTGTAAACTCATCAGCCTAAGTTATAACAGTCAGTAGTTTTACTTTAAAAATCTTACATATTGTTAGGAGTAAAAAATAAGGATTATGCTCCTAATAAGGCCTAAAATTAACATAATTTATGATTTTTTAAAAAAAATCAACCTGATGTCTAATTATCAGCCGCGTTCCTCAGAAAGCTGTGTGTTAGTAAGTCCTGTTTTCCGCTTGCAGTCCTGGTTTAAGTTCTCCTGATGACACTTTGAGCCCCTGACTTTTCCCCTCGTTTCATAAGTGCACGTTGTTTTGAACTAGCATAAAATGCTGGTATGCCAGCAGCCTCCGCAAACAGCTGCAGAGCTTAAATAGAACCAAAGAACAAGCAACATGTCCTGGAACATCATTGCTGTAAATAGTGGCACAAGTCAAAGATGTAGATGTGTTTCTACTCAGCCGAGAGCATTTGGTTTCAGGGCTGCTGGAACGTTGTTGCGTTTCTCCGACAGTAGGTGACTGTAGGTGCGAGGCAGTAATTGGCGTACTTTCCCCTTGTCTCCTTTGACCTTCTGTTAAATCGGCCTTCATTACCCCGAGTTCTTCAGCAGCAACTGTGTAGCCGCTCCTCTCTGCTTCCTGTACTGGGTCCATCTCTGTCTTTACATAATTTTTTGTTATTTTCTTTAAACAACTGGCTACAATTTTACCTTTCAAGTTGATGTTTAGTTCTGCCTTCAAAGCTCCTCTGTTTGTTGTGAGGGGATAAATGAATCAGGACAGTAATTTTCAGCCCTTATTTATTCAACGTATCCATAAGGGCTTTGCCTTACTAGAGATTATGTAGAAACTGTCCAGTGTTTGTGCCGAGTCAGCATTTCCCATGTTCGTCATAGCTCTGAGGGGTACGCACTGTAAAGACGGCCGCATTTCAGTTTGGACTCCAGTCTATTGCTTGTTCTGACAATTAATCGATTAATCGGATAAAAGGAGTGCCACATTGTGCAGATTTTTCCTTAAGCCACTTTTTTTTTTACATACGACAAAAGATCCAAAAATGGAAAAAATTCAATTATTTGATTAAAAGAAACCAAACATTTTATTGCCTAAAATGCAGTAGCAACATTCGTTTAGTGGCTGCTAGATCATTTATAGCAAAGGATGCATCTGCAGCTAAAAATACTGCTTACTAATCTTTTTTTTAATTATTATTAATCAATGTAGAGCAAAAGAATACAGAATTTTTAATTGGGTGAAAATTATATTGTTCTGGATAGAACATTTTTATAGACAAAGGCTTCTCATCTTAAATGGAAAATGTATATATTTTTATACAGTTGTGGCTTAATTACTGCTCTGAGTGTTTTGTCAGCAAATGGCCATTTTTAGAGCTTATATACTCAGGTTGATTATTAATCTATTACTAAATTTTAACAACTGATTAATCACGATTAATCGATAATAGTGTGAACTCTCGGCTCTCGCTTCGCAGCCGTTCGTGATTCACGACATGGAGACGCTGCAGCTGGCGGAGCAGACGCTGGTGGCCAAGATGGTCGGCTCGGCGGGGTCCCTCAAGGACAGAGAGGCCGAGGTCCGGATTTTCCACTGCTGCCAGTGCACATCGGTGGAAACCGTCACGGAGCTCACCGAGTTCGCGAAGTCCGTGCCGGGCTTCTCGAGCCTGGACCTGAACGACCAGGTGACGCTCCTGAAGTACGGCGTGTACGAAGCGCTCTTCGCCATGCTCGCCTCCAGCATGAACAAAGACGGCCTCCTCGTGGCGTACGGCTCGGGGTTCATCACCCGGGAGTTCCTCAAGAGCCTGCGGCGGCCGTTCAGCGACATGATGGAGCCCAAGTTCCAGTTTGCCATGAAGTTCAACGCGCTGGAGCTGGACGACAGCGACCTGGCGCTGTTTGTTGCGGCCATCATCTGCTGCGGAGGTGAGGCTAAATTTGTACAGTTGGGTTTGTTCTGCACCCTACGACTGTTCGTTACACAGATTCACCACACACACAGTGATTCATTCCTTTTTACTGATCCGTGTCACATTATTTTCTGAGAAACTGAACCCTGGATTTTTTTTTTTTAATTGAAAGAGACAATCATGATGTCTCCTCTGACTTCCTCTGCCCTCAGACCGACCAGGCCTGGTGAACGTGTCGCACATAGAGGTGATGCAGGAGAGCATCGTCCACATCCTCCAGCTCCACCTGCTGGCCAACCACCCCGACGACCTTCCTGTTCCCCAAACTGCTGCAGAAACTGGCCGACCTGCGGCAGCTGGTCACGGAGCACGCGCAGCTGGTGCAGGAGATCAAAAAGACAGAGGACACGTCCCTGCACCCGCTCCTGCAGGAGATCTACAGAGACATGTACTGAGGGACTGCAGCAACCAGCCGACAAACAGAAACAAAACCGTTCAGAGAAGACACGGAGCTCTCCGTTAAGCTGGGGTTCAACCACTTTGAGCCGCGCCGTCTCCGACGCGCGGAATTCGCTTCTGGCTTCCGGTCAGCTTGAAGGAACTTTTCTCTGGCGGCCGGGTTCCTTTGGTTGGTCTGGCTTCTCACCACTCCACCGCTTGGAACCTTCTGAGACCGAAAAAAAAAAAAAGAACTAGATCAGATGTGAAACACCGTCTGATTAAAGCCACTTTGTAGAAATCTGTGTAGCATTTCTGACCAAACTCAGCTATTAACCTACGGTGAGCCCTGAAAAGGAGACGGGGAACTCGATGATTGCCACTCCAGTTGTGCGTTTCGAAAAGAGATATTTATACTGATGTTAGAGCCGTATAATGTCAGCCTCAATTAAACCACCTCGACCTGGCAGCGACTAAAGAAGCTATTTGGTTTTCCTGCTGCTTCAAAGCCATCCAGCATGTTCTTCTTCATACAACCGGACACATCCGAGGAGTCGCCAAACGTACGAACGCAATTGCAAGCGGAATTGTGATGACCGGGTTTTGACTTGAAAATGCATCTTGTTGCACAGCGTAAGCACAAACTTGTCTGTGATTTGTTCACAAATGTCTGAGCCGTTTTCCTAACAAAAACGCACGCTCAGATGTTTGGCACTCTGTCCCGCGCTGAGAGCTCGTGATTTACTTGAGCCGCACTAGAATCTCAACAGCAACTCGCCTAAATATAGAAATTTATGTTTTCTTTTAGTTTGTGTCACATTGCCTCAGCTCCAGCGTTTTCTGTGTTTTCACAAAGAAACCCAGCTATGTTTTTTTCTTTATGTAGTCTTTATACAAATATCCAATCAGTTTATCAGCAGTTTTTCAGCCGTTTGTAGCCTATTTCATATTTTTGAAAATCTGCCAATACCGATTTTTTTTTTTTCGTCAACATTTTTTTTTATGGTCATAGAAAAGATGCCATCGCATCAGTTTTTCTATTATTCTCAAAGAAGGACAAAATGATGACAGAGTTAACAATTAACTTTATTTTAACTTTGCGTTAGCCATTAGCATGACTAGCATTAACTTAAAGAGTGCTAGCTTGTCCTGGTTGCGCCACCGTACGAGTTTACTGTGCGTAAAAAGCCCGGAGCCCAATCAGCGGCGGTCCAGCCAGAAATCATCCAGTCCCAGTCGTAACCCAGTGTTGCAAGTGGGTTTATGAAAAGGCAACTCTCGTATTTTGCTGTCATCCAACCATTTGTATAAGAAGAACATGCGAGCTTAGGCACCAGAAGGAAGGGAAATATCTGCTTGGATTTTGTGACATAAAAACACATGCAGAATAATATGAGAAGCATATAATCATCTGTTTGATATCCGGCCAGGAAAAACAAAACACCCCTATAAATACCATGAAATTATTTAGTCTACCTTGATTAAAAATCAGAATTTTTTAATGAGGATTACGTGTCTTTTGACGCTATAATTTTACTAAACAGGACGGGCAAAGTTATCTCCAGCTCTTCACAAGTCAAATTAGTGTAATTAGTTTCAATCTCTATGTAGCGTCTGTCGGATAAGGCATTTCCAACAAGATTTCACATCTAAGTTTTCTTGAAGGAAAAGATGTTTTGTGAACATTTTATTTCTTTAACGTGAATTTGGACTAACGGCTTTGACTAGGAGACCTCCAACAATCAGAGCAGGTTCTCTTCAGTCAAATAAGAAATCTTCAAATGCATGATGTGTGGAAAGCAATTATGCACAAATGTTAAACTCAAATTATTTTACTATTTTACAGCTCTTTTCAGCATATGTGCAGCTGTACTAATCTTATAATTATTTTGGTGCTTTAAAAGTAACATAAATTGGATTCATCTTTTGTAACCTTTTTTCTGACTATTGCAGTGTCATTGTGTTTTTTGTTTTTTTTTTAATCTTTTTTTCTCGCCCTAATGACGTCATTTTGTGTTTGTACATAGTTAATTGCATTACCATTTACCCCAACTAAAAGCCAAGTCTTGAAGTCACATGATGGTAATGGGCTCTGCACACCCTAATTTTGCTGAAGACTTATACGTTTAAAAACAGACGTGTACTGCTTGTTCGTGTTGCTTTACTGTTTGAGTTTTCACTTGAATTAGATCCTATTTTTATACTAAAAACGTGTACATAAGACTATATCTGATGACGTTTTATTCAGAAATAGCACGGTTTGAAAGCGTAAACAGAATCAAGGTGAAACAGGGCGATCCGAAAATATCCACAAATCTGAACCCTGCTGGGGACATTCCTTTGGTCTGAACCATCAAAACTTTTGCTTCCAGCTGTTCATTCTTTGGCAACTGAACCGAATCCTTTTGATCTGAACCGAAGACGGCTTTGGACTGTTTCGGCTTACAACGTTTTGTGACCGATAAAAACTTGACTCCGTCGTCTCTGCCTATAGTTTTAACGACAAGGAGATATCTTATAAATGTTTAGCTACGATATAGTGTAGATCATACGTTGAAATAGCGTGTCTTTTAATACTGTTTCCTCAGGTCGCACATCAGAATACAAATAGAGATAATATATGCACAGAGATTTTTATCAATATCAAATGCTCCTCAGCAGCCTCAACTGTAAAATGTTTTGTCTTTTAATTTTTTTTTGTTCGTTTTGACAGATTGAATCTCTGTTTGCTATCAGAGAGTCTAAATGCACTCATAATTAGCCATCACGTCATATGCTATCAGAGTATAGATGATGCAGTAATGTACATTTTTGAACAGGTTGCTTTCCAAGCTTGTTTCTGTCTGACTTTCTCTCTCCAGACTTGCTGCTATATTGTACAAACTCAAACATGAGCTCTGCCACGGATAGATTACTAACCTCCAAGCTGCCTCTAACTTACTCACTTAGAGTTGAAACCAGATATTTCCATAAACCTTCAGTTTTTAATTTTTTTTTTTAGTTTTTTTTTTTTTCCTTGTTTTGACATTCCATCAAACTAATTTTGCCAAACTAAACTTTTCTGTTTTAGGCCAGTTAAGTTTACTCAAAATTATTTCTGCTTGCTAAATCCCAGAATAATTATTAAAATTCTGAACTTTGCATACATTTTGGTATTTGATAGTCGCCTTTAAAACTGTATGAATTTTTATATTTACCCACAAACTTTCTATCGGAGTGAGATCAGTGCTTTTTGATGGCCACCGTAATAAAAGTATCTTTTTACATTTATTTTGTGGGTATGCTGAGATTCTCATTGTCCATATTTACTTCAGCATCTCCATAGAATGTTTTTATATTCTCATTATGTCATCTTTTCTGTTAAGCGCACCAGACTCTCCTGAAGCAAAACAGGAGATGATACTGCCAACGCTGTGCTTCACAGTCGGGATGGTGTACTCGTCCCACGTTTGCCTCCAAACGTAGCAATGATCATTATGGTCAAACATTTCAATGTTTGCGTCAACAGATCAACTTGTCAGCTAGCATCTTTCATACCAAAACACGTGCATCTCTGGGAAATACGTACCTGGACCATCTTGGCCGGACATCCCCATGTTGTTTATGCCGTCATATAATTATTTAAGCAGACACAAGGATTTACAAGATATGTTGGCAATCACAATCTTTAGCCTATTTTTTATTATTATTATTTTTTTAATCATAGAATGATGTCACACAAGGAAGAGGTGTCTTCTCCCAGTGGCATAGAGGCGAAGAAAACTGTTTGGATTTCAAGAAACAAATACTTTTCTCAAATAAAAAGATCTTGCTTGTGATTCTAGCGTTAAGCAAACGGAAATAATGTTTGTAATCTTGTCTGATTTACAACAGAAAAAAACTGACTTAATGTCAAACAGAGGAAAACATTTTTTTTCTCAGAGTATGTACATATCTGGCTTCAACTGCATATCTTGTCTCAGATTGCAAAGAATTCACCCAATGCAGCTCAGTTTTTCACCTTGCAGGTCATGCTTGGTGATCAACAACATGTGCCTTAGTCTCTCTGTGTGTGTGTGTGTGTGTGTGGGTGTGTGTGTGTGTGTGTGTGTGTGTGTGTGTGTGTGTGTGTGTGTGTGTGTGTGTGTGTGTGTGTGTGTGTGTGTGTGTGTGTGTGTACACGCCAACATCGAAGACTCACGTGACTGAAAAATTGTAAACCATTGACCTGTTCATGTGACCTAACAGAAAGCTAGAGTGGTGCGTCATGTGATCAGATGTTTCAACAGAAATCGATCGGCTGTCAATGAAAATGAAGGATTTGCTCAAAAGGGGTTTTAAAAGCGAAACTGAAAATGAATGAAACTCTACAAAACGGCCCCAGAGGTGAAGCTGGTTTACCCTTGGGGGCGTTTTGTTTGATGTAGAATTGACAAGGGACTTTTTAACTTGTATCAGGGATTCTTAGTCTTCCTCTTTGCACTAGCTCAGGATATAGAAAGGTACTGTTTCTCCGTCCCTGTCTTTCTCATTCAATCTAACACAAGTCTGTGCTGCTCTGCTTTAGAGCACAATACAGAAGCAGCAATACAGGAACATTTTAATATTTGCTTTTCTTTTCCAGTATAGATTATTATTTTCCAGGGGCAGCAGTCATAGGAATTAGTTTTTGTTTTTTTGTGACCTTCAACTTGTTTATTTCTTTATTTCTGCAGCTCTTGTCTACTTCAGAGACAGAAAGCATCTTTGGATGTGTTGTCCGTGTGTTTTGTGGCTCGGATAATAATACTGTAAATGTTTGAATGTACCGAATATTTAGTCATGCATAGTTAGTCCTTTGCAAGAAGGCAAATTGACATTGAATGAATTAAAATAAATAAATAAAATGATTTTGAAATCCTCTACCTTGTTTGTTGACATCTGAAAGAACAACTTGAGTCTGTTTGGATTATCTTTTCACTTTCTTTCTTCTTTTTTCTCAACACCAAATTTGATCTTTTACAGTCAAGATAGAGTGATGGTTTCTCTGGCAAATAGACTGAAACTCTGGGGCCAAACTGGCCTACAGTGTAGCTTCCACACAGTAAAGGTATTTGTGTAGATTTTTAGTTCTTATCGCCAATAAAAGTAACAATCTCACAAAACAGAATCAGAAGAGAGATAAATACATTTGTGTTATGCTGAAGACATGAGCTTAAAATACTTGGACATGCAAAAAGCTAACTTTGAAGATGAAAGCTTAATTGTTTTCCACAGAAACACAAAACACTCATTTCTATGAAAGTACACTGATTATACTAAAACATTTACTTTCGAGTGATAATCTTATAATAAATCCCTCTTCCTAAATCCAGAGCTTCCTCTTTAATTGGGTCGTTCCCAGTCTGACCCGCAGACTGACGTCAGAGCAATCTTGTGACCTTGACTCTTGGTTGAGTAAATAAGCAGCCGCTGCTGATTCAGAGCCGCTCCAGCAGGGGGCAGTCTACATTTATACAATTACCTCTCGCTCTTCCTCCTTCTCGTCACATTGTCCAACATGGCGGTGTCCATGCTCGGCCGCTGCTGTTGTGTTTCCCGACACGCGTCCCGCCGCCTCCTGAGACGAGCGCGTCTCCTTCTCCCACCCGGATCCAGGTTTGGCGGCTCCGCCGCTGCGTCCCGCGGGCTGCTCCTCTCGCTCCATCAGCGCGGAGTTCTGAAGGATTCCTTCCCACAGAGCGCAGCGCAGGACCAGCTTCCCAAGCTGCTCCAGTCCGCTCCTCAGACTGTGTACTGCGGCTTCGACCCCACGGCCGGCAGTCTCCACGTGGGCAACCTGCTCGCCGTTATCGGCCTGCTGCACTTCCGGAGCGCCGGGCACAACGTCGTGGCGCTGCTCGGAGGGGCCACGGCGCAGATCGGGGACCCGAGCGGGAAAACGAGCGAGCGCGAGCGGCTGTCCGCGGATGTGGTGGAGGAGAACACGCGCGGCATCCGGGAGAGCATTCAGAGGATTCTCGTCAACCACGAGGTGCTTTTCCACGACCGCTCGAGGCCGCTGGGCACGGCGAGCGTGCTGAACAACCGGAGCTGGTATAAGAGCTGGGGGGTGGTGGACTTTCTGTCGGAGACCGGCAGGCACTTCCGGATGGGGACCATGCTGAGCCGCCACAGCGTGCAGTCCCGGCTGAGGAGCGCAGACGGTATGAGCCTGACAGAGTTCACCTACCAGGTGTTCCAAGCTTATGACTTCTACCACCTCCACCAAATATACGGCTGCAGGATTCAGCTTGGAGGCACCGACCAGCTGGGCAATTTGATGTCCGGACATGAGTACATTCACAAGTAAATTCCCCTTCCAGCTTTGTTCCAGGCTGCGTTTGGAAATCGGAATAAGACATGACCGAATATCCCCAGTTGTGTGTTTTGAAGTCCAAAAGATCTCCAAAGAATTAGCTGCGGTTTCACTAGTGAAAACTTTAGTGGGTCTAGTTGGGTGCAAGCCACAGGTTCTCAATTGGATTCAGCCCTCTACTTTGACTGGGCCATTCTAACACAGACTTTGGTTAGATTTTTCTCTACCTGAGAAGCAAATGTCTAAATTCTATATCAGTTTAAAGTTTTTCACGGCCAAGAGAAATTAATGGACGCCAGTGGATATGTTGTACCTACAGAGAGCAATAGGAAAAATCGCTGTAAAAGAAAGCTATTATTTTTATCTTTGGTTGATAAACTTTATGCTCACAAACAACTACCGTAGTCCACTTCAGTGTTTATCCCCTGACCAAGCTATCTTTAGCTTGAGCCGACCTCATCCTTCAAGTTTGGATTGTTTGTTAGCTTCCAGACAAGAACATGATTGTTTCATAACCTGTTTGATTTTCTTTTTCACCCGTTTACTTCCACACAACTCATCATTGATGTTTCCTGCACTGTTGAACTTTGTATCAGATGTGCTGACACTATACATTTTTCTTTCTCTTTTTCCAACAATTGGCCACACCCTTTTTTTAAGTCAAAACAATCTGCTCTTTCATTAACATGAGATGTTTCCAGCTGCTACATCATTCTCCATTTTACCAGTGTGTCCTATCTTAGGCATGCTTTTGTTTGAGGTGTGAAGGTGTCAAAAATGACTTATCCCAAACAGAAAAGCAATGAAAATCTCATTTCTCAATTTTTCCTCACACTTTCATTAAATGTTGGGTTTTTTTTTATCATTATCTGGCTCTAAAATATAATGATACCACTTTCTCCACATCATTTTTAACTGGGGAGAGTAAAATAATCACAATAATTCTCCCATGTATCCATTCAAATCAAATTTTTTTTTTTTAAAGAGTAAGTGGTGAGGAGGTGTATGGCCTGACCATCCCGCTGGTGACCAGCACCACCGGCGACAAGCTGGGGAAAACCGCCGGCAATGCGGTGTGGCTCAACAGAGACAAGACGTCCCCCTTCGAGCTCTACCAGTTCTTCCTCCGACAGCCAGATGCCAGCGTGGAGCGGTACGCGGAGAAGAAAGCTCACCGGCTCTGTTGATGCCTGAATCACAGCGACAAGGAAGCTGAAGTGTTTTGTGTGGGTGTTTTGCAGATACTTAAAGCTGTTTACCTTCTTGCCGCTGGGAGAGGTGGAGAAGCTGATGGAGCAGCAGAGGGAGGATCCAGGCAAACGCCTCGCCCACAAACGACTGGCCGCAGAGGTCACCAAGCTGGTGCACGGAAAGGAAGGCCTCGAGAGTGCCAAGAGGTCAGAATTGGTCCGCGGAGGTTTTTCTTTTTAAGCGTTGCACCAAATTTCCCCCTAAAAGGGTCAAAAAACATTGGGCTTAACTCCCACCTGCAGGTGACCGTATTTCTCAGGGGTCGTGTTAGTTAAATTTTCCATTTTCGACTTGACCTGTCACGATAACAAATTTTGCTTTATCATAATTATTGTAATAAACAGTAATGTTATTTTGACACCATTTTTGAACAATGTATTGATAATGGCACAATGATGCAAGTCTCAAAGACTTTTAGGTTTGTACAGAACATTCCACAAGACGTTTTAAATACCCAAAATAAAGTGGCCAAAATGTAAAAAAAAAAAAAAAAAAAAAAGCATACACAACCTGAAAACATAAATAAAATGGATTTTGAAGTCTCTGTAAACAAATTTGCTCTTCAAAACATTTTAATCATCCAGATTTTTAAACGGTGACGGAAAAATCGCTACGGACGACCAGACATTTTCAACGTCATGCACAAGTACTGATTACCAAATCAGTCAAAAGATTCCAATTGAAAAATGTTTCTGATTTCAAAACTTTGGGTTAAGTACTTGGTTTTGATCATCATCAAAACCCTGATTACTCTCAAGCAGTTTGGGAAGAAGTTACATGCATTCATTTTTCCTATGTGTGATGCTATGATGTAGATTCTCTGTTCAGCTTGATGAATATTAATTAAACCAAATTAAAATTAAATGTAATTGAACATGTTAACATTAAAAAAAAATTAACTGGTAAACAGATTATAATGGGGTATTTTTTTTATCTCGTTGGTCAAAATGACTGACAAGGACAAAGTCTAGCTTACCCTCTCCTTGTGCTGCATTGCTGCCTCAACCTTTGCTTGATGTCAAGTTATAGTCTGTGGTCAATAACTGTATATATATTTTTCTTATATGTAAATTTTGGATGAGGTTTAATGAGGAAATATTTCTAAGTAGCTCCACAGAATATGGGACAACTGTAAATCACAAAATGATTAGCAAAATCCTGGAGGAGACGTCTGAAGGCTGTATTGTTTGTCCCTGCAGATGTACCAATGCCTTATATCACAGCAGCATTCAGGCGTTGGAGCAAATGAGTGACGAGGAGCTTCAGGAACTCTTCAGGGAGGCTCCTTTCCAAGAAATGTTTTTGGAGCCGGGGACCACGGTGCTAGACGCCTGCCGAAAGGCCAGCGCCATCCCTGAAGGGCCCAGAGGGTAGGTTTCTCATGAGCACCTACTGTTTTTAATAGAGCTCTGCCATTGGTTGTGGGGTTGCTTTTTATCAGCAGTTAGGGAGGCTGGTCCACTGAAGGAAAACTTCTGAAGAATAAAATGGGTGCGAAACGCCAGAGCTGATGGCATTTACTAGAAAATTTGGGTCAAAAATTTTTATTGATTTAATAAACACTGGTAGGAAAGTGGGAAACCATCGTCTTCGAGGCAGAGATGTGGTTGGGGATTAAAAAAATCCTAAATGATCGTGTTTGACCGTCACGTAAATGTTTGGTGAAAGTAAGACCACTCAAGGAATTGGAACTGATCTGCTGTCTAGTCATAAGAAAACTTGTAATCAGTGAAGCTAACTGGGGGAAAAAGTTAAACTTTCCAAGAGGGCTGGTGTCAACTGTATCAGCCTTTAGGGGCAATGCAGCGATCCGGAGGTGCTGGAGTTGATCAGGTCTAGTAGGTCCAGCAACATTATGAGCCCAAAGAATGAGGGCCGCTGACTACCTGAATATACTGAATGATCAGACTATTGTAGCTTGTCAGGCTTACAAGTTTACGCAGTTGAAAGTTCTTGATTTACCTGAATCTTACCTTGTGATCACTTGCGTTCAGGTATCGAATGATTTCAGAAGGAGGAGTATGGATCAACCACAAAATGGAAGACAAACCGGAGCAGGTCCTCATCCCCAACATCCACATACTGTCTAATGGACTCACCCTGCTCAGAGTGGGCAAGAAAAACTTTCACATCATCAAGTGGCTCAGCCTCTGAGGCTGCCTCATTGACTCACAGGGAAGGTAGGAGGAAAACCTTGAGAAGAGTCTGTGGGAGATGCTGATGGACTGATAAATGGCTGGTCATTTAGTGTTATATATACATACATATGTAGACGTGCTGTTTATCTAAAGATTTGCTATTAAAACAACATTTGGTAAAAAGGTCTTTTTCTGTTGACTTATCTCTACAACAGACTTTTGGAGCAGTGAACACTAGAGGGCGACATTGCCTGTGTGGCCGTCCACAGAGAACCTAACGAGCCATTTGTCCCACTGTAAGCTTTCAAGTAAACAGCTGCTCACCGCTAAACTAAATTGTATCATTTCTCAAAAAAAGCTCACAGTCCTAGTTGAAGCAAATTACTGTTTTAAAAAATTGTTTAATTATGGTGCATTTGTTTTGTTGCAGTTTAATTTTTTTTCACCTTTTTACTTCTGTAGAGTGTAACACAACTTACACACATTGGGAGACAACAATCTCATGTTGGGGGAAAGACGGTTTATGATGCAGTTTGAGTTCAAAAATAAGTTTTACTTAAATACTATTTATGTAAGTTTTTTTTCCCTGTTCTTGCTTGTATGCAAGAATTGCATAAAAGCAATTTTTGCTTTTATGCAAATTAGATTGTTTTTTATATATATATTTCTGTTTTTGGTATTTGTTTTAGCTGATTATAATTTAAATTTTACATTCACCAATATTTAATAATGCATTTATCAAGTGCTTTTAAAGTGTTTTGCTGGCAAAAAACAAAAGAAATGGCAAGAATACACACACAATTAAAGAACAAAGATACTATAAAATATGTGGTTTTCTGTGCATCATGTGTAGCATTTTATCATATATAAAATGCAACCCAGATCTAATAACTGTACCATGATCATGGAATACATGTTTTTCTTTTTTTGTTTTGGTACAAATTTGAAACCAACAGCTACAGGCTTATAGTTAATAAACCTGTAGCATTCAAGGTCATTCAAATAACATCAAAAATAGAACCAAGTGCCTACAACACAGCTTTCTGTCTCAAGCTGGAAAACCTGCAAGTTTTAGCAATTACCAAAGAAGTAAAGTCAGCTGTCAAAACTCAAAGCTCACTGTTTTTTTTTGTTGTTGTTGTTGTTTTTTTAAATTGAAACATTAAATTTAATTTTGTAGCGTATGTAATATTCAATCTGCTTTGTACTTTTTTATCTTTTGATTTCATAGCAATAACTTAAAACAACTTGCTGTGAAATAAAACTATTTGAAAATGCATCTTTAAAGATCAAATCTAGAAAGAATGTTCATAAAACATACAGACACTAGTTAACTGTCTTACAGTGAAATATTTTTGATTAATACAAGATTGAAATTGTGTCGAAATGTAAGCTTATTTACAAAATTGGCCCAGATTACTTAAAATGCTGGCGCTTTAAAAAAAAAAAAAAACATGGGCGTGGCCTCTGCGCTCAGCAAATGAACAGCCTCGCAGGGATTTAAATAGCTCCGTGTGTCAATCACAGGCTCTGGCCCTCCTCCATCCGAGCCCAGCCTCCTCTCAGTCCCCACAACGCCTCTGAATCGCCATATTGGGTACTGAGGTTACTCTGCAGTTTCTCTCAGTCCGGGACGGAATTGACAAGAGCTCATTCGGTCCCTCTGCAGTTTGTTTTGATGATTCGCGGGGACTATCTTCGGCGTCAGAACACCGCAGAAGCCGTTTGCGCCTCCAGCTTGACATACGCATGGCATAAGCCGTTTCACGCCTGTTTCGGATCTTTCCCCCCGTGACGAGGAGATACCCGTTGTTGTTTTTTTGTGTGTGCGTGTGTGTTTTTTTTTTTCTGTATCTTTTTTCTTCTTCTTCTCTCTCGCTCTCCGGCGACGTGTTTTCTCTTATGAAAACCGGACGCTCCTGGCTGCTCGAAGATTCAGCTTTTTCGGGGGGTAAAATGTCAGACGTTCGACTTTCAAACGGAAGCCCGACGTTGGAACGGACGGAGCCCCGGGTTACGGAACACCCGAAGCCGTCAGCCTGCCGAAGCCTCTTCGGCTCGGTGGACCACGAAGAGCTGAAGCGGGATTTAAAGGGACACATGCGGGAGCTGCAGGAGGCTGCGTCCGCCAAGTGGGGCTTCGACTTCGCCCGTGACAAGCCGCTGCCTAACGCCAGGCTCACCTGGGAACTAGTGGACCCCGCTGAGGTCCCGGATTTCTACGTGCGGGCCCCGCGGAGGGAGAAAGGCGTCTGCTCTGGGAGTAACAATGTGGATCTAAACGGGAATCATAGCTGCGCTACGAGCATGTCTGACGCACTGACGGAGTGTACGGAGAAGTGCACCGGGCTGAGGAAAAGAAAGCGTCACGGTACTACTTTTTTTATTCTAACGCGTTTTCAGCCCGAATGCTGTGGAACAGATAGTCCTACGGCTCCCGGTGTTGGCATATTACTGTCATAAATGCATCATTGTGGAAAGTAGTAAAATGAGAAAATAAGCATTTTTTTAAATATTATTTTTAGCAGACACCACGGCGCAAAGTAAGCGGTCACGCAGCAGCCCAGATGAAGTTAGTTGTCCAACCCTGAGCCACTCTGTTGAACACACACCCAGAAAGTCCAGTCCCAAGAGGAAAACGTGAGGGCTGGCAAAACGGTAAGGAAATTAAATTAATTATATAGAGAAATGAACATTATGTGTACGTGGTTTAAAAAATAAAAAAACCGTGGCCCTTTCTATCCAAATACACCGTTTTTACTCTATAAATTCCGATTGCAATTGTGTTTTGTACTTTTTTTTTCTTTTTTTTTTTTTTTTTTTTTGGACGACTCGTAGAGTTTTTCATCGATAACAGTTCTGCCCCATTAACACCAGATAGACAAACGTTGCGAGTGAAAACTAGAAAAAGGAAAACAAAACTGAGCTGGACATTATTTTTAGCCCTTTAACTGCAGGTGTTTCGGCGCTGCTCGTTTCCTACTTAACTGTAAACAAGTGCTGAACAACAGTGTAGTAGTAACACGTCAGCAGCCACTGCCCTCGCTGCAGAGCGGGGACGGAAAGGGGCTGGTCTGTCTCTCAGAGAGCTGCAAAAACACACACACGCACGCGCCAACACGCACTCTCCTGTTACAACACACACGCACGCACACACACACACACACATCTATCCCTGCAGGGGGAGAAGAGCGTGCAGGTCTGAAATAAAAAAATCAAGTGGGTCACAGTGAAGAAGGGCTGGGTTAAAACATTTTTTACCACATTGAAGAAGAGAACAAAGAAAAAAATTATATATGGTATATTTTTAATTTACAAAGATTATAAAACCGAAACAATAGGCAGGTATATTTTTTAAAATTCCTTTTAAATAATTTTAAATAAGAAATTGTAATTTTTTATAAATGCGATAAGAAATGTAGAACTTCCACTATGTATATTTTTAATGACACCTTCACATTTTATGCATGTATTCTTCCTTCTAGATTAATTTCTGACTTAATTTTTTTTCAATGTATTTTTAAAATGGGAAGCTAACCTAATCTTAATTGTATGAGCTAAAAACTAAAATAAAAACACTCGATGGAGAGGCTCACAAAATATGACTTAAAATGTAAAAGTAGCTTCTCGAAATAAAAACTACAGAAACAACAACAACAAAAAAAAACTTTATGATGTTTACAAAAATAGTAGTAATTTGTATTTCACTTCAAGGCTCTTTAAACAGTTTTTCCACATCAGGAAACACATCCTCGGGGAAAAACTCTGCTTCTTTTTTTTGTTGTTTGTTGTTACAGAAAATGTTACACAATGTTCTGTTGTACTAACCTGCATGTTTTTCTCCTCTCTCTCTCTCTCTCTCTCTCTCTCTCTCTCTCTGTTTCTCTCTCTCTCTTCCTTGTTCTCGCCCCACAGAGAAGATGCCCCCTCCCCCTTGTTTTTCCCTAAATGTGGGAAACCTCAGTGTTGGCTTTTTTTTTTTTTTTTTTTTTTTTTTTTTCTCCTTTTGGATGAGGATCTACGCAGCATCAGAAACATATCAGCTCTCCTGAAGACTGGGGAGGACGCTGTTGAAGCACTGAATAGAAACACTAAAGTTTTTGGCACTCAGTTAAATGTTACTGCCTCTAACAGCAGTCGATGTAGCAGTGTGCAATTAGGTTGGATTTCCTTCTTTGCTCCTTTTTTTTTTTTACTACCTGTGTATATAAATTAATAAATAAATATATATTTCTCTTCATATGTAGCACATAATAAACATTATGATTTTTAAAACAAATCCTTTATGCTAAAAGTGTGAAATTTGATTTGACTTGAAGAATTGCAGTGTAGTTTGACTTTTTTTTTTTTTTTTTTTTTCTGGAAATGCTGTTCTGCTCGTGCGAAGTTGACACGGTCCCTAATTGCTACACTTTAAAACAAAACAAATCATGGACTTCTTATGGTTTCTTTACAGCGTGACTTCACTCCGTCATTTTCCTAACTCGACGTTGAAGAATGGTACAAATGTAGCTCGTTTATTTTTAATTTTGTTTTGTTTTCTTTTTGGCCACAATCTTTAGCTCTTGTAAGAGGAGGAAACTTAAAAAAAAAACAAATCAGTGAGGATATTGTATTTATTGTTTGATTTTTTTTTTTAGAGTTGCTTTTAAGCACCAGTTTGGACCCTTTCCCCTCCCCTCCTTGTTGTAGCTCTGCACTCCTCAGGTGCGTCGGACGAGCTGAGATATTTACAGAAGGACATGCAAACCTATTGACTCTACCCTGATGTGCCTTACTGCTTTGCAGATGGAATGGTTTTTGTTTTTTTACTTTAGAAAGCGGTTATATCTCCTACAATACCAAATACATGGTTGCTTTTATGTAGATGACTTCACATTGTATTTCTTTGTGATAACGTAGGCGCTTTATTTTTTAAATTTTTTTTTCCTTCCATTCCTTCCTCCCTCCTGCCCCAATATTTTAAACCTGCTGAGGAAGCAAGTGTGAGGATCTCAAAGCTTCTCCTGTATTTGACGAATAACGGTTCGTCCCACAAATAAAGTCGCCACACCTGTGTACTTGTGTAGACATTTTTATTTTTTGCAATGTACATCTGTACATATTTTGTAAAAAAAAAATTAAAACAAAAAACAGAAATTATACTAATTTATTTATGTCAAGATTTTTTTTGTTTTTTTTTTTATGTAGAGTTTTAAGAAGACATGGGTTCTTGATTACGGTTATCCAAAGTGGCATTTACGTTACTATAATTGTTTTTATTTTGTTAAAGCATATTTTATTTGGTAGATTTTTTTTTCTCCCCCTTATAAGGTTGCAGACTGAGCCTGATATTTGTTGTGCATTTTTTGTTATGTGTGGATAAAAAGATGTTGCAATCAATAAAAGAGAAAATTAAAGTTGGGACTTTTTTTTTTTTTTTTTGACTTTTTAAATAGTCTAAGCTTAGCATACACTAAATACACTATGTTGGCAAAATGAACTAAAATTATAAGTACATTTTCATAAAACATTTTTTTCCATTCAGACTTTATTTGGTATAGTTTGGGGTGAAAAATCAGTGAGGCAACTTGACTTGCCTTAGGATCAGTGAGCCTCGATCCTAATGTGGATCTAGGCTGAATGATTGATGCTCAGCTCTTCCAATGAGAGAGCAGTTTAGAAAAGCAGACCATTGACTGCAGCCTGTAGTGTTCAGCAACTTATCCCTGGAGTAGTTGGTGACAAAAATCAGAATTTATGTTTAGAAAATAAATTTTCTAATTATCCTGGACTGGAAAATATAGACAGGGAACATTTTATTTCATTTTTCATTACATTGTTAACTGTGTGGGTACTTCCGTAATGTATATAATATATATACATTTTTTATATTAAATAAAATGTCTGTATTTTAGCACACACACACACACTTACACACATATATATATATATATATATACACACACACACAAATTTCTGACTTATGCAGTCTTGATTTCATCTTGTTTAAATCTCCCGCCCCTTGCTGTCTGAAACCAGACTGCTGAGTCTCTCAGTTTCAGTCACTGCACCTCTTTGGCTGTAAAAACCCAAATAAACGTTTTCACTGTGCAGTATTTTCCTGCCTCCTCCTCATGCCTCATGCGCAGGAGGACACCTGCAGCAGCTTGTTTTTATTCATATTCTTTAACACCGCCGTGTTATGAGGGGTGGACATGACTTTCTCTCTGTGTGGGTGGGCGGGTGGGAAAGGTGGGGACTGTCCGGTTCTGAAGCGTGCAGGTGGACAACCTCAACCCAGCCGTTCCATCAAACCTCCCCCGACCCCCACCTCCGAGCTCGGGGCCCCATTGTCCCAGTGTGTGGGCCTTTGTGCCGAAGGCCATTGTCTAGGGGCCGGGGCCGGCCACTGTTGTGTCTGGGGCTCCTCTGTTCAAACAAAGGGCCCGTCTACAATCCTCCACCCCGCCCAAACAGCAGACTGCCTGACTGATTGACTGACTGACTGGCCGTCTGACTCACTGACTTTATGACAAGGTGAAAAAGCTGAGTTCACATCAGTATTACCCGCTTACAATGGGCAAAAGGTCAATTAGTTCAGTGATTCGATTCAAAAATTTGTACAGTATATGCACCCAGGTCTCACCAGTTTAGATGTCAGTGGGTCTTTAAAGTAAATTTTGGCAGTGTAAGTGGTGTCGAGTCCTGCTGGAAAATGAAATCAGCATCTCAGTGAAGTTTGTCACAAAAGGCAGGCATAAAGTGCATTGAAACATGACTTTGGACTTGATAAAACACAGCGGGACAAACCGCCGATGACATGGCGACGACAGTCACCTTCCACTTCACCTCAAGCCACGAAAATGCCTTGTCTCTGATACAGAAGTGTCTCAACATAAGGAAGGCCAAAGCTGTGGGCTATGCATCTGTCTGGTTGGCTTTGGTTCTCAATTTTACGCCACTTAACATTACAGTAGCATATTTTCATACGGCAACATATTTGGTGTGTGTCCTGGTCATGTTTGTGTTGTGAAATCTAGTAACAAATGTTGTGAATCTTAGTAAAAAGTGCTTCGCTTCACTGTCCTTTCTGTTGGAGTTTTTCCTTCCACTCAACTTTCTGTCAATATGTTGGGATAAAGCGCTCTTGTGGCTCCCCATCTAGTTGGAAGTCGCCTCATAATGCTGTACGCCGTAACAATGTTGTCTAAATGTCATCGGCCTTACCTGGCAATATTAAACATTTTCAGAGAAACATTTTTTGTTTTTATTCAATTTAAGCCATTGCTGAAAGCTTTCACTTTTCGATTCTCACTCTGTAATAAGTTTCACATTTAATTTAGCTAGTCAAATAAATTAACTTTGCATGTATTTGTTTTAAAGCAGCCGTAAAAATGTCAGCAATTTTTTCTACAAATGTATTAATAAATGCTAAATTTTTTTTGCATTTTTTGTATCTTCATATTTACAATGCCCACACTTGTTTTAATTTTGTTTCTGTGAATGTATTCCACTCTCTTTTCCCCTCAGTTGGAATTACACACACAACTTGATTAGCCTTGCAAATTCAAGCAGTTCCTCATCATTCCCAGCTAATTCCCGTCAGCTGCCCTAATGGGATGTTCGCCGGCCAGTTCATTACTTCTCACAGTACCGGGTCACTGTGAGGCAGCAACCCAGCCCACACTGGACCGAACTCCAGGAAACTCCAGCAACACACTCGGTCTAAACTCTTTCCTCCGCGCTCCCAGGATTCACGCTTCACATCAACACTGACAGGTTGTCTTTTCCTGTTAACCGCCCCGACACTTAATATAAAGCCACAAGTTCCTCCCCGAGCTTCCTGTCGAGCCACAACAGACGTCACCGAACTGGTTCCGTGGCAGCCGGGCCTCCGAAAGAAGGAGACTCTTCCTCTTTCTGTCTGCGTCTCTTCTTCTCGAGCGGCTCCACGGTGTGATGGCGTCCAGACACACATATGATGTATTTACCAGCTTTTTAGTTTAAGGGTTACAAAACTCCAGCTGAAACACTTTTTGAAACCGGGTATCACAATGATACAGGTGGGAATCAGCTGCTCCACAGGTGTGAATGGTTTTGTTTCGGGCAGATGACGACAAAAACAATGGCGGATGACGTGCCGTGTTGTGCTACTCAACCGTTCGGTTTGGCTAGAAATATGTGTTACATGGAACGCTTTTCTCGGGAACCTGGAGACGGAGAGAAGGTGATTTACAATGAAGCGGAAGCTAAAGGTCGAATGCGCATGAGCGTTCGATGACATGATGATGACATGACAAAACCACAGCGCCATACAGCGGCCTGGCATGGCAGCTACAGGCGTCTGGGCGGTGCCGTCGAAATGCGGAGATGTTTCCCAATCGACAGCCGAAAATGTTTCGTTTTCAGTCACTGGTGTTCGTTCAGGGCCGGATTTATGGAGAAAAGCTCTTTCTAGAATGCAAATTACAGTTACAGCTAAAGCACATAAACTATGTATGAACTAATGAAATGATGGCGGTAGGTTAGTTAATATTACGTCCCTTGGCCTGTAGCTTCATGTTATCCTACGCCTCCCAAAAAGAAAATCCTATAACTTCATTGTTTTCAAATATAGTTCCAAGTACTGTTTATATTCATACATTCCCAAAATATTATTACAACTCTCCTATTATGGACCTGTGGCTTTTATATAAAGTGCAATAATTGCAAGACTCACATTTAAAAATTAAATAGATTAAAGAAAATAATAATAAAAAAAACATCTGTAGCCCTCTGGACTCCAAGAAAATTGGGGCCCTGGGCTTTTGGCTCTGTAAGCCCTTTCTAAAATCTGGCTCAGGCCTCGTGTGCATTTTATCTATGCGTCTGTGTGTGTGTGTGTGTGTGCGTGTGTGTGTGTGTGAGGTTTCCCCCCACACACAGGGAGGGATTTGGATCAGATTCACAGTGGAGCGAGTCGTATCTGCAGGAGTTGCAAGTTGCAGCGCCGTGGTGCGGTGTGAGTTCAGGATTGACTGGCAGGCAGAGAGAGGAAAGGTTAAGAGGTGAGAGATGCCGCAGAGCACTGAATGACAGATGTGCAGATGTGCTTCAGCAGCACGGCTGAGAGGAAAAAGAAAGCGAGGGAGCGGAGGAGGGTGCCGGGGGTAGAGCTCATTAAAGCGGCACACCTGCAGCCTATCAAAGAGCCTTTATCTTCTATCAGCCCAAATCTGCTCAAGCACGCAGCTCAAGACATTGCAAAGCTGGCATGGGCCGCGTTGCACGCTCACTCTTGACTCGTCCGTCCTTTATCTTGCCTTTCTCTCTGGACCAGCGCCGGCGGACGGTACCTGGAACAGAAATCCTGTCAGGAATGCTCAGGGATGCGTTCAGATGCATCTGACCGAGACGCAGAGGCAGAGTTCCCAGTTTGAAGCATCTGTGCTGTGGAGATAGAGGCTTTTTCTTTATGCTCAATTTCACGTTGTTCTCTTCTGGCAAAGTTAATGCATGGATGAATCATTAATTATTTATTGATTTAGCTGGTGCACCATGTAAAACCAGAAAAGGCCTCTGAAAAGAGTCCAAGAAACGGTTCTGTGTATATGATGAATTTAGCTGCTGCCGATTTTGATCTGTGATATATTTATATAAATAGGTCTAATCACACTTTTTACTTATGACCATGCACAAAAGAACATATTCTGTATTTGAAAATCTCACAGATTTTCAAGTTTCATTTTATCTGTAGGTATTTAACATTGAGTTGTTCAATGGACTATATATTGTTTCTGTGCTGCTGTAACAAGTCAGTTTCCCCACTGTGAGATTAAAAGTCCTTAAACAATGTGTAGCTATTGCTAAATAATAATAATTAGAATGTGAATCATAGCACTTTCACATAACATTTTAAAAGAACAGGAAATCGTCACATTTAATTTTTTTCTTTCTATTTTCTTAACTTTTTCTCTTATAATTTAATCTTGGCATGACATGACTTGTATAAGGATTTTATTTTCCAAAGGGTGGAAAGTCACTGAATCTATTCGTGTTACATACGCAACTTTCAACGTGTTAGGATTTTATGTCGTAGATTGACACGACCTGTGACGTGAAAGGTCAATGACAGAAATCTGAAAAGTGCGCCCTATTTGTTCGTTTGCCTTTACCGCGATACCCTGGAATAAAATCCAGTCTATCCAACTGGCTTCAGAAATCAGGTAGTTCAAATCGGCCGCTCACCCAACCCTGCAGGCCGGGTCATTAATCTGCTCTGGAGGAGCTGCAGAGATCCAGAGGTTCAGGTGGAAAAAAAATTATTGGTACAACTATTAGTTGTGCACTTCACTAATCCGGCCTTCTGAACAGATCGTAAACATCTGAACAAAATTTCAGAGAATATGAACGAAAACGTAAAACCTTTCACTTACAGTCAG